CTCGGCGGTGGCATTGGGGAGCTATAGGGGTCTATGGGGGACCTGGGGGGGCATATATGGGGCTGTAGGGGTCTATGGGGGCATATATGGGGCTGTAGGGGGGCAATAGGGGAGCTATAGAGGGATATAGAGTCTATAGAGGGGCTATAGGGGACCTATAGGGGGAATATATGGGGCTGTAGGGTCTAGGGGGGCCTGTAGAGGGTCTATGGGGGGGCTACAGAGAGCTGTAGGAAGAATATATGGGACTGTAGGCGGGCAATAGGGGGCTACAAAGAGATCTAGAGTCTATAGCTGTCTACAGAGACTATAGAAGGTCTATGGGGGCCTGTAGGGGAAATATATGGGGCTATAGGGGGGCTATAGGGGTCAATAGGGAGAGTGTAGAGGGTCTATAGGGGGCTACAGAGGCTACAGAGGGGCTATAGGGGGGTCTGTAGGGGGAATATATGGAGCTACAGGGGGTCTATAGGAGACCTAGGGGGCCTATAGGGGCCTTTAGAGGGTCTAGGGGGGGCTATAGGGGGGTGGCGTCCACCGTGTCCCCATCTTCCCTGGCGTCCCCCTCATCCCTGGCGTCCCCATCTTCCCCGGTGTCCCCCTCATCCCTGGCGTCCACCGTGTCCCCATCTTCCCTGGCGTCCCCCTCATCCCTGGCGTCCCCATCTTCCCCGGTGTCCCCCTCATCCCTGGCGTCCACCGTGTCCCCATCTTCCCTGGCGTCCCCCTCATCCCTGGCGTCCCCATCTTCCCCGGTGTCCCCCTCATCCCTGGCGTCCACCGTGTCCCCATCTTCCCTGGCGTCCCCCTCATCCCTGGCGTCCCCATCTTCCCCGGTGTCCCCCTCATCCCTGGCGTCCACCGTGTCCCCATCTTCCCTGGCGTCCCCCTCATCCCTGGCGTCCCCATCTTCCCCGGTGTCCCCCTCATCCCTGGCGTCCACCGTGTCCCCATCTTCCCTGGCGTCCCCCTCATCCCTGGCGTCCCCATCTTCCCCGGTGTCCCCCTCATCCCTGGCGTCCACCGTGTCCCCATCTTCCCTGGCGTCCCCCTCATCCCTGGCGTCCCCATCTTCCCCGGTGTCCCCCTCATCCCTGGCGTCCACCGTGTCCCCATCTTCCCTGGCGTCCCCCTCATCCCTGGCGTCCCCATCTTCCCCGGTGTCCCCCTCATCCCTGGCGTCCACCGTGTCCCCATCTTCCCTGGCGTCCCCCTCATCCCTGGCGTCCCCATCTTCCCCGGTGTCCCCCTCATCCCTGGCGTCCACCGTGTCCCCATCTTCCCTGGCGTCCCCCTCATCCCTGGCGTCCCCATCTTCCCCGGTGTCCCCCTCATCCCTGGCGTCCACCGTGTCCCCATCTTCCCTGGCGTCCCCCTCATCCCTGGCGTCCCCATCTTCCCCGGTGTCCCCCTCATCCCTGGCGTCCACCGTGTCCCCATCTTCCCTGGCGTCCCCCTCATCCCTGGCGTCCCCATCTTCCCCGGTGTCCCCCTCATCCCTGGCGTCCACCGTGTCCCCATCTTCCCTGGCGTCCCCCTCATCCCTGGCGTCCCCATCTTCCCCGGTGTCCCCCTCATCCCTGGCGTCCACCGTGTCCCCATCTTCCCTGGCGTCCCCCTCATCCCTGGCGTCCCCATCTTCCCCGGTGTCCCCCTCATCCCTGGCGTCCACCGTGTCCCCATCTTCCCTGGCGTCCCCCTCATCCCTGGCGTCCCCATCTTCCCCGGTGTCCCCCTCATCCCTGGCGTCCACCGTGTCCCCATCTTCCCTGGCGTCCCCCTCATCCCTGGCGTCCCCATCTTCCCCGGTGTCCCCCTCATCCCTGGCGTCCACCGTGTCCCCATCTTCCCTGGCGTCCCCCTCATCCCTGGCGTCCCCATCTTCCCCGGTGTCCCCCTCATCCCTGGCGTCCACCGTGTCCCCATCTTCCCTGGCGTCCCCCTCATCCCTGGCGTCCCCATCTTCCCCGGTGTCCCCCTCATCCCTGGCGTCCACCGTGTCCCCATCTTCCCTGGCGTCCCCCTCATCCCTGGCGTCCCCATCTTCCCCGGTGTCCCCCTCATCCCTGGCGTCCACCGTGTCCCCATCTTCCCTGGCGTCCCCCTCATCCCTGGCGTCCCCATCTTCCCCGGTGTCCCCCTCATCCCTGGCGTCCACCGTGTCCCCATCTTCCCTGGCGTCCCCCTCATCCCTGGCGTCCCCATCTTCCCCGGTGTCCCCCTCATCCCTGGCGTCCACCGTGTCCCCATCTTCCCTGGCGTCCCCCTCATCCCTGGCGTCCCCATCTTCCCCGGTGTCCCCCTCATCCCTGGCGTCCACCGTGTCCCCATCTTCCCTGGCGTCCCCCTCATCCCTGGCGTCCCCATCTTCCCCGGTGTCCCCCTCATCCCTGGCGTCCACCGTGTCCCCATCTTCCCTGGCGTCCCCCTCATCCCTGGCGTCCCCATCTTCCCCGGTGTCCCCCTCATCCCTGGCGTCCACCGTGTCCCCATCTTCCCTGGCGTCCCCCTCATCCCTGGCGTCCCCATCTTCCCCGGTGTCCCCCTCATCCCTGGCGTCCACCATGTCCCCATCTTCCCTGGCGTCCCCCTCATCCCTGGCGTCCCCCTCATCCCTGGTGTCTTAATCCCTGGTGTCCACCATGTCCCCATCATCTCTGGTGTCCCCGTCATCCCTGGTGTCCCCCATTCCTGGTGTCCCCATCATCCTTAGTGTCTTCATCCCCGGTGTCCACCATGTCCCCATCATCCCTGGCGTCCCCCTCATCCCTGTTAGCTCCATCCCCGTTATCTCCATCCCTGATGTCGCCATCCCCGGTGTCCACCATGTCCCCATCTGCGCTGTCCCCAACCCCGCTGTCCCCATGTCCCCCCTCCAGGCTCGTCCATCCCTGAGGAGCTGGTCAGCGTGGAGGTGACGCTCTCGGAGCCCTGCGGGACACGGGGGGACGTCGGGGACAACGCGGGGGTCCCATCCACCCCCAACACCTTCTGCATCACCATCCCCGAGGGCACCAGCGCCTGCCAGGTCAGCAGGGACCCCGATGTCCCCGTGTCCTTCCCGGGGTCCCCATGTCCCTCCTGGGATCCCCTGGGGGTCCCTGGGTCCCTTTTGGGGTCCCTTGGGGTCCCCATGTCCCTCCTGGGGTCCCTTGTGGGGTCCCTGTGTCCCTCTTGGGGCCCCCACATCCTTCCTCAGGTCATTTGTGGGGTCCCTGGGCCGATTTTGGGGTCCCTACATCCCTCCTGGCGTCCCCATGTCCCTCCTGGGGTCCCTTGGGGGGTCCCTGGGTCCCTTTTTGGGGCAGCTCAGGTCACTTTTGGGACCCTGTGGTCCCTTTTGGGGTATCGGAGGTCGCTTTGGGGTGTCTGGGGTCCCTTTTGGGGGGTCTTGGGGTGCTTTAGGGGGTCCCAGAGGTCCCTTCCGGGGGGGTTTGGGGATCCAGGGGTCCCTTTTGGGCAGGTCTCGGGGGGTCCCAGGGCTCCTTTTGGGGGGTTCCCTTCTGGGGGGGTGACTTCAGGGTGTCCCCTGGCACCGGGCTGACGGGGACACCCCGCAGCCGGACGGGGGGGCCCCCGTGGCCTGCGAGGCGCGGG